TACTAATGTGACAGAAAGGTTGGTTTACATCTGTCAACATTACATTTTAGTAAACAGTTTTCAGCTGTCAGTATGAGGACTGTAGAAAATATATTTGTGAAAGTTTACTCACAGAATCATTATTTCAGTTAAAGAAGCTTTGGTAATTGCTTATTGCAATGTCCGTATTTTTGTTTGTTTTGTTTTTTTCTTTTTATGAAAAGAGTAATTTCAAAGCCTATGTCAATCATTATGCACTGTGAAATTCACAGGTATGCTCATAGAGCACTATGATTCTTAAATGTTCCCCATTTCAAGGCTCACTATCAGTCCTTCTCTTAACCGTTTCTTTGAACCATAAATTGAGCCATACCTCATTGGTTTCGTTGACTTTAATTTGAACCGCATTTTCCTGCATTCTACCAATTCCCAACTTAATAATAATAACAATGGCACTTTTATAGCGCATATTAACATGTGAATATGATCACATGCGCTTTAGATAATTATTTATCAAACTGTCCACAAATAAAAAGTGAAAATAAAAATCATAATTCAAATTCTTATCATGCTTACATCGAAATGAAAAGTAAATGCATCACAATCAGTGATGAAATAAATTAGAGGAACAAAGGAATAGAATAAATAACCTGGAAGATTGTCTTGGAGTCCATATATCATAATTATGAACATTGTTCCAACACCATAAAATATGTAATTAAGGTCAGTTTATATTATAAGCCTCTTTGAATAAATATTTCAATAGAGATTCAAAAGATATAAAATTGTCTGTTTTTGTAATGTTAAGTGGTAGTTTATTCCATAATGAGGGTGCAGCTGCTGCAAAAGATCTATGAACTAACGTCTTTCTGCATCCGTTTGGTTGTTAAAGGAGCAAGCCTTTGCTTGATCGTAAGCTGTAGTTGGTCGAAACGTCTACGTGGTCGAAACTCCTACTTGGTCGAAACTCCTGCAAAATTAGCTGCATTCTTCTACTTGTCCATTTCCATTTCCACGATACACATAATGTGATAAAAATGCAAAGTTATTGGACGACCTGCATGGAAACATGGAGCTACTTGTCTAACGTGGTTTCCGTAGTGTAGTGGTTATCACGTCCGCCTAACACGCGGAAGGTCGCCGGTTCAAACCCGGCCGGAAACAGGCTTTGATATATTCGTTACTTTTGTTTTCCTAATGTTAAGTGACGTTCCATTTTTCCCGGTTATGGCATGCCACTGTATTCAAAAAGATATTTATTTCACCAAATTAAAGACGTATTACCCGCCAGCTTTTTTTGAGAGCTTAAGCAATGACGACGGCGACGCCGAGGGCAACGACTACTAAAAAATGAATTTCTATTTTACCTTCGAATTTCGCAGTTGTCTAGATTTTTTCGGTGTGCTTATAGTTCTCAGAAATTGCTTGAGCTAAATATGTAACACCGGCGTTTAATTCCAAATGAAAATACTAAATATTAGCCGCCGTCGATCATGTTCTCCAAAGTACGCAGACCTTTAGTTTCACGGTATTGCATGTTGTGCAGAGAACAGCTGTACAAATATTTAAAACGTAGGTGGACAGCCATTGTTCTGCTCATTAAACCTTTTGTTTGGTGGCGTTCTCGTTGCCGTAACCGTTGTGGTTTTCTTAAGCTATCTATTGAACAAGGACATCTGTGAACTACTAATAGCAATAATAAACCTCTCGCGTTTGAAAATATGACAAATGTTGGTATAATTGGTAACTAAAAAAAACAGAGTACTGATATGATTTTTGATACTGATTACTGATGCTGATTATTACTTGTCACTTATCTCTAGTCACATGACGCGTAGGGAAATTGAAAAAGTCAGAAACTAAAAAAAAGGGAAGAAAATAAGAACATGTATTTCCGGCCGGGCTCGAAGCGGCGACCTTCCGCGTGTGAGGAGGACGTGACAACCACTACACTAGGAAAACACTACGAATTGCTCAATTCTCTCATTGGGAGTTGTGTACTAATCAATTTTGCGAGGTCTCTAATGAGAATTTTCTTGCAAACTCCTATTATACTTAGGTGTAATACATAATCATTGCCTAGGAAAAAGAAGTGTATCGTTTGTACGCTTAGCTCTCAAGCAAAGCGTATATCCACGTTAAATAAAGTATTCATTCATTCATTCATTCATTCATTCATTCATTCATTCATTCATTCATTCATTCATTCAGCGTGTTGTATCATCAGGGAGGGCGTCGTAGCTCAGTTGGTTAGAGCGCCTGTCTAGTAAACAGGAGGTCATGGGTTCAAATCCCATCGGTGCCTTGAATTAATCCTTCTTTTCAACCCTGATATCTTGCTTTTGTTACCAATTATACCAACATTTGTCATATTTTTCAGTAAATACGAGCGGTTTATAATAACGCTTCAAAAATTTCCTTGTTCAGTAGAGAGCGTAAAAAAACCACGAAGGCAACGGCAACGAGAACGCCTCCGAACTAAACGTTTAATGAGCAGCACAGTACCTGTGCACGTTCGTTATAAATATTTGTATCTTTCTTAGCCGTTCTCTGTACAACAACAACGTGAAATAACTAGGGTCTGCGTATTTTGGAGAGCATCAGCGACGGCGGATAATTTTTCGTATTTTCATTTGGAATTGAACGCTGGCGTTACATATTTAGCTTGAGCCAGTTCTGAAAACAATTGGCAGACGGAAAAGATCTAGACAACTGTGAAATTCAAAGGTAAAAGAGAAATTTACTTTTTACTAGGCGTTGTCGTCCTCGGGGTAACCGTCGTCATTGCTTATTAATTAAGCTCTAATATGTTGGAGAGTAAGACGTCTTTTATTTGGGGAAAAATACATTCTTTTGAATACAGTTGCGTACCATAACCAGGAAAAAAACGAAACATCAAAGTTGTCAGAAAATAAAGAAGTTAGTAAAAAGAACTCTGTTTCCGGCCGGGCTTGAACCGGCGGCCTTCCGCGTGTTAGGCGGACGTGATAACCACTACACTACGGAAACCACGATAGCCAAGAAGTTCCATGTTACCAAGCAGGTCGTCCAACAACTTTACATTTCATCACATTATGTGTATCGCGGGAGTGGATACGTAGAAGAGTGGAGCTATTATATAAATATGCAGGAGTTTCGGTCAAGCTGGGAATACATTTAGGTAGAATGCAGGAAAATGCCGTTCAAATTATAACGTCAAAAAAACTAATGAAGCCGGTATGGCTCAAGTTATGGATCAAAGAAATGGTTATGAAAAATACTGATAGATTCCCCACCGGGGAAGACTGGATGACTTTTTGACTGAACATCGTTTTTCTTCTTACTTACATTACTCGCAGTTTCGTATCATGTTGTCCTAGAGATTTCAAACGATAAGTGTACCTGCAAAGCGGAGGAATCGCGATGGAAAGTGATCATCGACCAACTCTAATTTGCATTATCTGCTTCACCAGCACAACCCGTAACTGGCTTACGCAATAACGGGTTGAAAAGGAAAGTGAATTCACAGCTTCTAGATCCTTCTACTGGTGATAAAATTGGAAAAAGACGGTATTTAGACGCAGCCTGCGTCGTTGTATTCTAGTTAGTCTGATCTTTTGAAGAAAAACAAAACAAAACAAAACAAAAAAACAATGATAATGAACTAAAGCCTCTCCGGGTGGGCTTGAACCACCAACCTTTCGGTTAGCAGCCGAACGCACTAGCCGATTGCGCCACGGGGAC